TGAGTGGGAGCCCCTCTCATCCTCGTCTGTTATTATCCTGAGCTACGAGGATAAATTTAGAAGTATTCATAATGTCTGAACTCCAAACATTTGAGACTCAAGATTACCTCACATGACCTGTAGAAGGCTATTGAAGTGGTTACAATACCACTGTACGCCAGTGGGTGATCCCGGGGCTTCGTCGGCTTGAATGGGTCCCAAGCCAATATATGCCACTGAAAACGCCACACCCCAGAAGGATTCAAACCCAGACAGCCAGGAGCACTATGCACCTTGGCGTACCTGGTACCTTAACCACTACCTAGACCACACGACTGTACAAAAATCTTGGTAGTCGTGAGACTATTTATCCAAGATCCGACAGCACTCGGTGGACAATTTAGGCAGAGATATTTCATCGAATCACCTCACGTAGTGGAGTCAAGTGAGCAACACAAATGCGAACAAGTTGGCATGTTTTAACAAATGTCTTAGCAACAAGGGGAAAAAGTAAATCAGACATCATCCCGACACATAAACCCAAATATCAGGTTCGAATCCCGGGCGGGACAAAAATGATTGGGCATCTTTCCTTTCACCTAATACTTTGATTCTCCTAACAATAAATAGGTATCTGGGAGTTAGTCAACCGTTGTGAGGTTACACTCTGTGGAAGTTCAGTAGTTCGACCTTGGAGGGACCTCTATATATACAGGCTACCTGTCCCCGGCAAAACGATTTAATTTGTCTTCTATTGCATATAAAAATGTGAAAATGCCTATAGGAGCCTCCTTGATACTAGGTATCACATTCAGTAGTGTTAAACTAACGTTAACATTCTTTGGTTATAGTTATACCTTCTGGGTTGACCTTAGGAGGGTTGACGCACGTCCACCGGTCTAGCGTGGCACACAAGAGGACTGAACACGGCTCTCACAAACCATTTCGCAGTATATACCTGGTGAACACCCTGGTGAACACCCTGGTGAACACCCTGGTGAACATCTTATTGTCACAAACATTCCCACGGTAGCCCTGGACACACGCTACTGTAACTCAATCCCATAGTATAGACTTGGTGAATACATAGCAACAAACGCTCTCACAGTATAGACCTAGTGAACACGTCGCTGTGACAACCATCCACCGCCGGCCATTTAGCGGTTCCAACACCCTAAACAACAGTTTCTTCTACGTCTGAGACGCTGTAACAAACATTTTCAGCAGCTCGATTTGGACTGTATGAAAACAGAAGGTGGACATTGTCCAGGACCGGCCAGGAACGCCCGGAGTCCGCCATCTGCGAGGTCTCCAGGTGGCATCTCAGCCTCGGACGGTCCAGCGCCCGGCGCTTCCTAGGCTAACTTCCCATGGGAGGTCATTGCTCATTTTCCACATTGTTTCGTTTGAGACAATGCCGCCGTAGCGGGTCAGACCGACAAGTTACGGGGTAAACTCAAGCCGACCGGGATGCTTAGTGCTGTCGAGTACTCTCTCCCAGCCTATGGTGTGGACAAGAAGCTATAAGAGGCAACCCAAGCCAGCTGTGATTTACATGACCGGTCTAAAACGACCAAAAGTAGTGTCATTATCAGGAGAAAGTTCCAAGCCATTACGACTCTACAGTAAAACAACTGACGTTAAAATAAACTAAAGATGTCTGAGACTATTCCAGACTACAAGGCAATGGCTACTTGTGAAGTGTAAGAAGCTAACACGGGGTAGTAGCTAGGTGGTGTAGTGGTGCAGGTATGGAGTGCAGGTGTGGAGTGAGCCGCTGCTTCTGTTAAAACTGCTTCACACCAGGTCCTTCCCTGGTCCACCGACACTGATATATTGCCTGAATCTTCTCGCTTTACATCACATATTAGTACACTTGCACTAAAAACACAAATAAAAGCAAGTAGTGAAGTCGAGAGTAAATCAGAGCAAGCAATATAAATTGGTTGAGGTGAGCCATGCGGGTAGCAGGTGTGTGTGTGTGTGGGGGGGGGAGTGGTCCTTGAGGTTACCGCCCACACCAGCCTCGTATACCCACACTTGTCACCACCGAGTTCTCGATCACACACACACAATGCTCACTTGTCCCACACAGCTACTTTATCTGGGCTACCTCATGTTGCTCAACCTCTAGACCTTGCATCCCGTCATCCTCCACAGGGGCGAGTGTGGTATTATATACCTTCAGTCGCCACCTTAGCCCACCAACTTTTCACGAAGAGTTCATGTATATTGTTTCAAACTTTTATATATGTAACTCCTAACTGACTGATGAAAGTATTTTTATCTTAATTTTACTTATTATATATATATATATATATATATATATATATATATATATATATATATATATATATATATATATATATATATATATATATATATATATATATATATATATATATATATATATGTATGTATGTCATACAGTCCACTACGGGCTCACCAAACCCAGTGCTTCTTGCCCCGCTCCTGTGCCAGGTAAGTTACGGGCTCACCATAGCCCGTGCTACTTGGAACTTGTTCCGAGTAGCTGAATCTATAACAACAAACATCGTCCAGGGGCCCAGAGACACTTCAAGATGTTACAAGACCAAGGATTACATTCACTCCAAACATCTACCACCTACAGGCTACTCATCCCCGTGCCATCTCTTGCGGTGGCTTAATTTTCATCAATCAATCAAACGGCGTCTTACTGATTATTCATGCCCATGCCACATCTTGGGTGCCGTAATCTTTATCAATCAAACAGCGTCGTTAGTCGAGTTCTAACTCACATCAAACGCTACAAGCCTCCCTACAAGCTTCGCTACAAGCCTCACTACAAGCTTCGCTACAAGCCTCCCTACAAGCTTCGCTACAAGCCTCACTACAAGCTTCGCTACAAGCCTCCCTACAAGCTTCGCTACAAGCCTCACTACAAGCCTCGCTACAAGCTTTGCTACAAGCCTCACTACAAGCCTCACTACAAGCCTCACTACAAGCCTCACTACAAGCCTCACTACAAGCCTCACTACAAGCCTCACTACAAGCCTCACTACAAGCCTCACTACAAGCCTCACTACAAGCCTCACTACAAGCTTCGCTACAAGCCTTGCTACAAGCCTCGCTACAAGCCTCACTACAAGCCTCACTACAAGCCTCACTACAAGCCTCACTACAAGCCTCGCTACAAGCCTCGCTACAAGCCTCACTACAAGCCTCACTACAAGCCTCACTACAAGCCTCACTACAAGCTTCGCTACAAGCCTTGCTACAAGCTTCACTACAAGCCTTTCTACAAGCTTTGCTACAAGCCTTGCTACAAGCCTCACTACAAGCCTTGCTACAAGCCTCACTACAAGCCTCCCTACAAGCTTCGCTACACGCCTTGCTACAAGCCTCACTACAAGCCTTGCTACAAGCCTCACTACAAGCCTTGCTACAAGCCTCACTACAAGCCTCCCTACAAGCTTCGCTACAAGCCTTGCTACAAGCCTCACTACAAGCCTCCCTACAAGCCTCACTACAAGCCTCGCTACAAACCTCCCTACAAGCTTCGCTACAAGCCTCACTACAAGCCTCACTACAAGCTTCACTACAAGCCTCGCTACAAACCTCACTACAAGCTTTGCTACAAGCCTCACTACAAGCCTCACTACAGAGCAGATAGCCAATTCTGGCCTCATTCAAGCTCCTCTTTCTCACTCTCATCGGAGCTCTCCACTCTCGCTCTCCTCTCTCACTCTCTTCTCTCACTCTCTTTCAAGCTTTCTTTTCTCGCTCTCCTTCGAGCTTTCTTTTCTCGCTCTCCTTTGAGTTCTCCATCCCCCGGGCTTGCTACCAATGAACATGTTGTTCGTCCTATTAACTACATCCACAGCCCTAGTCAAGTATGCCAACATTCTGTTTGTTCTAGCCTTGTTGCAAAATTCAAATCGGTACCTAACCTAAGTGTAGGGTTTACTGGCAGTGTTCATCATACCTTGGTCTTGGTTCATCTTAACATGGTCTCCCATGATTTCACCCCCACAGGAACTCATAGAGCAGCGAACAGTTGATTGACAGTTGAGAGGCGGGACCAAAGAGCCAAAGCTCAACCCCCCTTGCAAGCACAACTAGCCGAGTACAGGTTTTCACTCTCAACTCCTACATAAATCCCATCGCTTTTCTTTGCCTTCACCTTCATGTTTTTGCTGATGACAGTCCACTTTTCACTTCGCCTTCTCTTGTACATTGCTTTGTCCAATGTACAGGGGAAGGTGAGGTGATTATAGTATGAAGTCACAGGATACATTGATGATGCCTTTGTTAAACTTGCACAGCAACTCTATTGATCACCATAAGAGCTTTTACATCAACTCAATGAACAAATAAATATTGCACAAGTTTTTTACATAAATTTCAATCTGTATGTAAATTCAGCATACACAGTGCCTGGGAATGTTTAAAAAAGGGACTCATCAAAAAATACATCCTTGGAACATCTATGTTGTGTATGATGAATACTTGTCAAGTAATTCAGAAAAATTTTAATGTTGTAAGCTGATGAACAAAAAGCATGCTACCCGAGAGACGTAACAAAATGAAACTCGACAAAATATTATGCACCTTTTCCATTGTAGCGAGTAGATTATGCCAATAATATACTCTCTCCAAATGCATTGTTAATATTCCTGTCAACCTTTGGAGATGAATGAGGTGAGGCGTTGCCCGGGCAACACGGTGAGGTGTTGCCTGAGCATATAAGTAGCAGAATAGCAAACATTAACCAGAGTCTACTTTCAAGTGTGGTCTAGAGCAGACACTTGCGAGATACTGTACCGACGCTCAGTGCGCTCAACTCACACCAAAGTATCACCTGTGTACTTCTGTATATTCGACCAAATATATATATAGTATCTTAGTGTCTGTGTTTATTTGTCACCATACTTTACGTAACAATAGAACAGTTACACCATTATACTATACGTATATGAGTTTAGTCATCATCCCATTAGTGAAATTAGTATAAAACGGATTTGAAGGTTTGTACTCACTCTTGCAGCCAGTCTTCAGAGTACCATAGTGGTCGGGCACACATTCATCACAACTCCGTCCTGCAACACCTATAAGCAGCAAAAAGGTACTTTATAAAAATTTACTCATAAATTATGAATTTCAAAATAACTACAGGAATAGAAAGTTAATTTAAAGATATTTTGCTAAAACCATTTAACTGCAATTTCAGAGAGCAAAGAATCCAAAGGATTTTTGCATTACTGTATATTCATCCAAGTTATTATGTAGCCATCAATTATGTGAGTTATCAGTAAAATGAGCTTTAAAAAGTCATTGCCATTACATACCTGGCTTGCATGGACACTGGCCAATAAATGGATCACAAATCTGACTGACTGATCCTTCAGGGTTGCACTGACATGGAGGGCATCTCTCGTCCACACCACCATGACCACTCTGCAGTGGAAAGTAAAACTGAAGGTAAGGTGATGCTCTAGAACATGTCGTCCTCTCACCAAAACTGCAAACACCATTTTCAATTTAAACAGCTTAAAAAATTTTGTTGGAGGTGCAAGCATAGCTATGGTGCAGAAGTGCAGTCACTCAACCAACATATATTGTTTAATATACCTATATACCTGAATTTACATGATATACATTATGTATTATCAGTTTTTCAATGATATGAGAAACCAAAAAATACTTTGTTTAATATATAGTTTGTGACTGTACGTTACGTCTGAATTCAATAACATGCTAATTAATTCCTTCTTAACAATCTTGCCAGAGATACTGTTTAAGATTCCTAATGGAAACCTGTAGGGTATCTTTACTGTCCACTTGGACTGCACAGTGGAGTGACAGCCTCACTTCTTGCAGGTTGGTGTTTAATCCCCGACCGTCCAAGTGGTTAGACACCATTCCTTTCTTCCATCTTATCCTAAATCCTTATCCCTTTCTAGTGCTATATAGTCATAAGAGTTTGCAATTTCTCCTGATAATTACATGGCCTTACTTAATAAAGTACTGTAATGTTCATCTCAAGTATCCCCGGTATGTTATTAACACACGAGTCATATGATGATATTTACTGATGAACTCGTATACTGTACTGATTACTATTTGTAGCAACGCATGACTACAGTACTTACAATGCAACGGTCACACTGGCGTCCTGTGTACAGCTTTTTACACTGACACTGGCCACTGTCCGAGTCACACTGTGCCGATACAGAGCCTTGCTCATGACATCCACAGCCCAGGCAATGGCCCCTGTACAAAAATAATATATACTTTATTTATTTATTTATTTATGCATATACAAGAATGTACATAAGGAATGTGAGGATACAATTATGGTAATTACAGTCTTGTAAAGCCACTAGCACGCGCAGCGTTTCGGGCAGGTCCTTAATCTAAGAAAATTTTAAGGAGGTAAATACTTGCAAAATTTATAGACAAAAAATGATAACAGATTACATGGAATGAAAAAAAAAAAGATGAGAGAAAATTATAGGTACAGTATATTAAAGCACATAGGTAGCTATGATTGATTGCAATGACAGCTTAAAATGGTAGTTGACAACAAATTGGTAGGCACAATACAGCAGAAACAATATAAGATTGATTACAATGACAGCTTGAATGGTAGTTGACAAAAATTGGTAGTCACAATACAGCATATGGCTAGCACATAAAAGAAGACAGCAATGAACACAATGATAAGGTTGTTTGATATTACATAAAAATTAGGAGATTGGGTACCACTAGGTACAGAGCAAATTTAAAGCTCAGTGTAGGAAACTAAATAGATGAAGTTAGGTACTTTTTGGTTTTGCTTTTAAATAAGGCAAAAGTTTTACAGTTTTTCATTTCACTAGGGAGTGAGTTCCATAGACTAGGTCCCTTAATTTGCATAGAGTGTTTACACAGATTAAGTTTGACCCTGGGGATATCAAAGAGATATTTATTTCTGGTGTGGTGATAATGGGTCCTATTACATCTGTCCAGGGAGAGTTTCAGAGCATGGTTTGCATTTAAGAACAGGGTTTTGTAAATGTAGTTGACACAAGAGAATGTGTGGAGGGAGTTAATATTTAGCAAGTTTAGAGATTTAAACAAGGGAGCTGAGTGTTGTCTGAAAGCAGAGTTAGTTATTATTCTGATAGCAGATTTTTGCTGTGTGATGATGGGCTTAAGGTGGTTTGCAGTGGTAGACCCCCATGCACAGATACCATAATTAAGATAGGGGTAGATTAGTGCATAATATAGTGAGAGGAGAGCAGAGTTAGGAACATAATATCTGATTTTGGAGAGTATACCAACTGTCTTAGAGACTTTCTTAGTTATGTGTTGAATGTGGGTGCTGAAGTTGAGTCTCTTGTCTAGGAATAGGCCAAGAAACTTGCCATCATTTTATTACTGATGTTAATGTTGTCTATCTGTAGCTGAATTGCATTTGATGATTTGCTTCCAAATAAGATGTAGTAAGTCTTTTCGATGTTTAATGTTAGTTTGTTCGTTGACATCCATAAGTGGACTTTTTTTAATTCATTATTCACAACATTATTTAGTGTATGTGGGTTGAGGTTTGAGTAGATAAGGGTAGTATCGTCAGCAAACAATATAGGTTTGAGAATATTAGAGACATTAGGCAGATCGTTTATATATATAAGAAATAGAAGAGGTCCTAAGATGCTGCCCTGTGGCACTCCAACGGTAATTGGTAGAGTGGAAGAAGTTGTATCATTGATGGTTACATATTGGTGTCTGTCACTAAGATAGGATCGGATGTAGTCAAGGGCAAGGCCTCGGATTCCATAATGATGGAGTTTAAATAAGAGGTAGTTGTGATTAACAGTATCAAGTATCAAGTATACAAGCAAATTAAAACTCCAATTAAAAAAAAAGGACAATACATTCTTACTTTATATAGCACATTATTCTCAGAAGGATATTTCAACTGATGACTACCTCTTATCATATATCATACTACCTTATATAGATTACCTATAGACAATTTCAATAGTTCTGCTCCTATGCCTGGGACCAGCCTTCTTTGGTGATTGCCTACATTCAACTTCAGTCTGCTCTTCAGTAACCAGATAAACAATCACCGATAATTAAGTTGATATAACATGCAAGCTTACACTGACAGCCAATAATGCCATCTTTTAATGTGAATTCTTACCTCTTAGCATCACCATAATAGCTTGGTTTGCACTTTTCACAATGCCAGCCAACAGTGTTGCCAATACACTTAAGACACTGGCCAGTCTGGCGATCACAACTATCTCGTTCCCGCAGATCAATGTTGCCATTACACACACATGGCTGACAATAGTTGCCAGGGAGAAGTGGATTGCCATAATAACCTTCTGCACACCTAGAGGAAATAAATACAGTATTCTTATTCAATATTTCTTATGCCTTGTATTCATAGAGTTCCCCCCTTTCCATTTAACAGTACTCAGATATGCATGTACTCTATCCAGAACACTATGAAAGCAATAAGACGATCATGCTACAGCATAATAATTCATGTAATGTATAATAATGTATTATGCAACATTATGTTACATAATGAAACATACCTTTCACACTTAGGGCCAGCATAGCCTGAAGGACACTGGCACTTGTATCCACCAAGGTCAAGGTCAGGGACACATCTTGGAGTGAAGTGATTAGACCCAAGAGCCAGTGGACACTCGCATGCATGGCAGGCGTCCGGGGTACCCGAGGATGCATCACCAAAGTACCCTGCGGCACATCGCTCACAGTTCTCACCAACTGTATTGTGTTGACACTCCTGTAAAAACAAGAGACAGATAATTCTCAATGTAATCTTCATAAGCATTTGAGCTTTTATATTCTGCAGCTATTGTTCATTGCAGTCATCAGCATTCTATCTGTCTTGTAGCCACCAAGAATCTCTTCAATGTAAATGTTGCAATTAAATCCTTAATATTTGCTGAACAGTTTTACAACTATTTTCTGGGTAATGAACCTAAGAAAAGAAATGTATCTATAAGAAGCAAACAGTCCAAGTGTAGGCAATGTTTAACTGCTGTTGATGACTTTGACCTGTTTATTGATTATGAAGCCATACACCAAAGCCATTTCCAAGCTACTGAACAAAAACAGCATTTTGTACATATAAATAAATGAACAGACTGATAGCTTTGGATAACTCTCAGTATGTTGCTCATCCTCCCCATCCAGGAAAGGATGAAAACTGAATCACTCAACTGTATAATCAGTTTAATCCAAAAGGTAATTATTTGTAAATACATTATAATTCTTTAAAACTTACCCCACATACGCCAGTGAAAGGATTACAAGACTCCACATGACCATTACAGTCACACAGTTGACATACTCCTCCGTACACAGTGTTGTTGACTCGTCTATACCCTGGTTCACAAGACTCGCATGATAGTCCTCTATATCCTGCCAAAATAAAACTACATAAATAACTCTACATATTACCATAATAGAGTACTGTGCTGTATATAGAACTTACTATAGTTGTGATACTGTACAATGTAGAACTATAATCAGTTTCCCTTAAACATTTTGCTTAAACTCCATACAGTACTAAAAATGATTGAATATTACAAATTTAGCATCTACAAAAGAATTTTGCAAGTTTAGTTACATATAAGGAGAGCATCTGCATATCAGGATATATTTAAAGACATAAAAAGAAATGGTCACCTGTAAAAAAACGTGAAGTACTGTTGACAGCCAGGGACTGAATACCTGATACAGCTACCAGAACTTTCCGAACATAGAAGCAACAGAGGGAGAAAGATGATCAGAACCCAAGCAAGAATTATGAAGAGGAAAGCATTACCATGAAGAATAATAACAACGAAAATACTGCTGTCAAACTTTATATATGACAGCCAGTGTCATGGTATAAGAAAATTATTGACTAGATTCAGACAGTACAGTATTTATATTACCTACTGGTATTTAAAAAATGCAAGTTTTATTATTACTGTATATAGAGCAAAATTAGCAATAAGAAACTATAAAGATGTGCCATAGTAAAAAAAAAATCAAAAGATATGAGGTGTAGATTTATAGATTGGGTCAAGAGAAATACTGTACGGTACTTCAAAATGAGTTAGACACGAGGGAAAGGATGCTAAATAATAATAGTGCATGGCAAATTTGCAGAAGTAAAAGGGATTTGAGTGAAGGGGAGGCATCCAACATCATGGAATGGAAGAGTGTGTACGAGTGAATACTACAGTGGAAGAGTGTGTATGAGTGAATACTACAGTGGAAAAGTGTGTACGGGTGAATACTACAGTGGAAGAGTGTGTACGAGTGAATACTACAGTGGAAGAGCGTGTACGAGTGAATACTACAGTGTAAGAGTGTGTACGAGTGAATACTACAGTGGAAGAGTGTGTACGAGTGAATACTACAGTGGAAGAGCGTGTATGAATGAATATATAGTGTTATCAGGGCAGAGCAAGGTATATAGTAGCAAACACGAGAGTGTACCTAGTTTTACACTCGTGTATCTTTTTATTTTGTATTTTTTTATATGGCATTTGAAGTTAAATTTGTTGTCCATTATGCATGCCTAGGATTTTACCTTCTGCTATGCTTTCAATTTTGCCATCAATATTTTAACATCAGCTTTATGATGAATGAATTAAGATGAAGCTTTATGTTACCTGTAGGACAATGACAGCGTTCAACAGCTCCAGTGACAAGAGCTGCAGTGCCTTCAGCTCCAAACTCAAGGATTACATTATGAAGACTGCAAATTGACAGGAAAAAACAGTTAAGATCATTGTTAACTTATCTCCAGATATATATCAAATACAGTATGGGGTATCAAAATATAAAGAACAGTGTATTAACATATTCACAAAACACATTACAGTTGTATAAATATGTACAACATATGTTAACACAGAACACACCTGTCACCTTCATACTTGATAATACTACACTGGAATTTGTAACTAACAATAAACTGTGGTGAGAAAAATCGCTTTCCATTTAGTGATGATTGCAATGCTAATTTTATAAAAAATTTCAACAGTTTGGCTATTTCTAACACAGAACAGACATATATAATTATAGTGTGGACATAAACCAAAATTATTGCTCACATAATGCAAACAAAATTGTAGATGATGAAAAGATGAAAAATTATTATACATCCCATTACAATGCAACACAATTATTTTTTAAACATAAAGCACTCAAAGTTTAGAGAGCAAAAGAATACTTCTCAGAAGGATATGAAAAAGCAGGTTAATGGTCATGCTGTAGTTTATCCTTAGTAATTTATAAACTTTCTTATGCAAGACTGTTCTTCTGAGAAAATAAATTGGTAAGCATTTCATAGCATTTTTCAAATTAATGCTAAAAGAGTCAAAAGGTTTGTTTAAACATATTCCAAAATTATATTCAGATTAAAACCTTCATAAAAGCTCTTCTGACAATCATAGTTATAACTCAAAAACATTTGATTCAGACACTAAGATATTTATTGATTACTGTAGTCTTATTAATTAGTAGTTCCCAACAAATTATACAAATACAGTACTTTATGGTATTCTTATATATAATTCAAAATTAAAAAAAAATATATATATACAGTATAAAGTAAAAACACTGCAAATTAATACCAATGGGTTGTGTAAGTTGTACAGATTTTAGTGATTAAATGGCATATTCTTGCAAAGCCATGCATAGCAATTTCAAATACAGTATAGTTTGACCATGTGTGACATGGGAAATAATCAGTAAGCCTAAAATTGTGCAAAAAATGCTGTCTAGAAATGATGCAAATAAAAAAATGTTATGTTGGCACTGCTATCCTATACAAATACAAATATTTATTCAGGTAAAGTACATACATACAAGGTGAAATACAAAAGTTGATGGATTTATAGATAGAGCTAGTACATACAATGCCTAAAGCCACTATTACGCAAAGCGTTTCGGGCATGTTGGATGGTGGTTGGATCTATGGTGGATGCCAATGAAGAAAGCCAAGGATCAGTGACTAATGCTTAAGAAAAACTGCTAGCCCACATATATAGGTTACAATTAACCATGCTACCTACATAAAGTGAGACATATACTTACACTCCTTCAATCTGGACAGTATGGAATCTGGCTCTGATCATTAAAGTTTGAAGCGAGCTGAGAATTTCCATCATCTCCCGCCGCGTTACTAATCCTCCTCTGAACTCCTTAGGTTTGGTGTCTAGCCCAATATCTGTAATGTCCTGTTATGAAGAGGTGTAGTGTCAATATGCAACAATATAAAGTCAAATAATGAATTCTTTAATAGAAAGAATCTGACATATAAATATTTACATAAACTTTAGTTACTAAATAATTTACTGTATAATAAATGATAGTGAAACATAATTTTCCGCATTTTTATTTTACTGTACCTGTACCTACTGTATTTATTATTATTTTAATTGCCAAATTTTGGGGTTACCACTTGGGAAGTTTAGTTTATTTATTATTTATTTATTTATTTATTTATATTCAAGATGGTACATTGGGTTTATGAGAGTACAGAGACTTGAAGATTTACATTCTTGTAAAGCCACTAGCATGCATAGCATTTTGGGCCTTTATTTATTATATATATCCATCTCATGGGAAGTAGTGGAAAAGGTTAGAGGCACATAATGGGCTCAGGGACTGAACTTTAAAATTCATTTAGCTAAGCAAGTTACAGTCTTGATAAGCTAGTTACAAAAATTTAGGAAGATATTTGATTCTGTCACCAACCAATGGCTGCATTAACAAATTCCAAATGCATATTTTCATGGTTTGAGTAGAGACATTTACAGTATTTTCATTTACTCTTTGTTTGAATCTTGTCATGAACCAATGCTCATTTTAACATCTACTTGTACAATGACTATACTCTTAATTTTAATACATATCTTATTTTCATACCATAATCCTTCCCAAAACCCATGATGACATAATATTTACTTTCTTCTCCAGAGTATTATTCTGGTTAATTATGCTTTAGTTTCAAACTAAAGTGACCCATTCTTGCAACAGTTCTCATACTGCAGTAAACCATAAATCACCTAAACTTACTTACATAAGACAATGGCTAATAAAGAAGTACAGTACAGTATTTACCAAAACAGCATACCTTGGAAAAATGGAACCACTCGTGTTCGTAAAAAGGAATCTCGAGCAAAGCGGACTTCCCGCGCCGGTATGTTTTGTCACCATAAGCAATGCGGTATCCCGCACCCTGTCAAATATAATTCTAATGTATCATTACTTCAAAAATTAAATCATTTTATCATACATAATGGCACAAGCACATCTACTTTTTAAAACACAAATTTTAATTAGACAAATACTATACATCATTTAAAAAAATTATTTTCTAACCTCCAAGATGACATCTGGGCAGCGGGTTGGCTGGCCTGATGTATCGCCTCTAAGTTTTATCCAAGATACCTTAATACTTAAAGTTTGTCCATATGATGTGGTCCTACGGGGAACAAGGTGTATGAAAATGTTTTAATCTTTGTATATTATTTATATTATTTATATATTTATATATATATATATATATATATATATATATATATATATATATATATATATATATATATATATATATATATATATATATATATATATATATATATATATATATATATATATATATATATATATATATATATATATATATATATATACAGTGGTACCTTGCATAACGATTGCCCCAAAAGACGAATATTTTGGGTAACGAACGGCCCGATCGGCGTCAAATTGTCCCATATGACGAACGCTGGTTTGAGTAACGTCAACACCACATGGTGGGGTCGCGCTGCTTCTTGCACATTCTTAGACGCCTCCGACGATGCACATAAAAATGTTGTTCTTGTTTAAAGATGCTAATGATGCTGGGATATAAAGGGGTGACTGCTGAGATGTTGCAAAGCATTGACGTTTTTGTAGGAAAAAAGAAATGAAATGTCTGATATACAACAAATGTCAAAAAGGTTTGTTCGGTGTTCGGCAGGTAGGCTGCTCCATTATAACAATCTTTGTTTCAAATGTGTTCCATTTGTTTTGTATTTGTCATTTACGTCTCAATAATGGAGAAGCCTACCTTACATACACTGAATAAACCATTATGACATTTTCCTTTCTTCAAATGTGTTCAATATTTATTTTTCATTTGTCTTATAGCAAAACGTTCGTTCGGTGGTCGGCAGGTAGGCTGCTCCATGTTTCTTAAAAAAAAAAAAAAAAAAAAAACGAAAAATAAAAGAACTGTTGAAACAATTTGAAAAATGGACAAATGTCATAGAGGTTCGTTCAGTGTTTGTCGGCTAGGCTGCTCCACTATTGAGACGTAAGTGACAAATACAAAACAAATGGAACACATTTGAAACAAAGAAAGATTGTCATAATGGAGCAGCCTACCCAACAAACACTGAACGAACCTTTTGCTATAACGAATATGAAAGACAAGGGCTGCTGGCTGGGTTAGTACTGCGTGAGCAACCATTTGTGGCACATGCGCCTCTGGCTCTCAAACACCTGTCCCACACGGTGTTGAAAGACTGTGCTCAGTCGGTGCAATTCAGACCCTATTGTTTGAAGAACATAAGGGTCATAACATTGGCGAAGCTAGGCGCAATAAGGGCTTAACACAACGGTCGGATGCCAGTGATACAGCACCTATGAGGATGATACAGCGAGCGTATCCAGGTGTAGCTCTGAGCTCCACCCTTGCCATCTCTAATGTATATAGATGATACATAGATGAATCGTTTTCTGCGTTCAGTGATGATGCATCTGATACAAGTAGCATAGATGAAGTGTTAGCGGCTTCCATGGTGGTGGTGGTGGTCATTGATATTTTCAAGAATACCTGAATCTCTTCCTGACTGATGGACACTCTTTGAGGCTAGCTGAATCTCTTCCTGTGGGGGACCTTACAAAGCGATCTTTTCAAGACTACCTTACAAATTGAGCTTTTCCTATAATCGTTTCAATACTACTTTATGCTTTACAAGCTTGGCTACATACCACCTACAAGTACTAAAGCCAAGGGTGCACGCGAGTGCGTTATGTGCAAGCACACAGAACGATGAAACAGGAAACGAAAATCTATCTGTAGCTGGTGCAAGGAGAGCAAAGTCGCGCTGTGTACCATGGACTACTTCGTTGACTATTATGCACCTCCAAAGTACTGAGTGTGTAATACAGTGTGTTACTGTGTAAATAGTATGTGAAACACTACATATTGTAATTTTAGTGAATTTTTACCACGTAATATTGTGACAATAAACATTTATTGTGGACACATTACTGACACATGTATCACAGTTTCATGGAAAATTATGAACATTCTACTGTATACATATTGTAAAGGTCACAAATATGCATCATATACTATAAAAGAAACAAATAAAACCGCATTGGAAATGCATAGAAAAAATATTTGAAAATATATTTGTGGCAACACGCGGTGCTTGAATGGCCTGCGCGACCGTGTCTGGGAGCTTCACACACGGGCGACCAGGCCCTGATGACGTCACAGCGCACCTTTTCCACGCCCTCACAGCCAAAGTAAGTGGAATTTGGTAATTATTTTTACATAGACATGTTCAGGGATGGTAATTTATCATTTTACAAAGAAAAATTATATTTTGGGGAGCATTTGATGTCATGCACACTGGGGATATTTCACAATAAACACAGTGCATCACACTGGTTACATGGGGACACTCGTTTTGTATGACGTCCGTTTCACATGACGAACATGGAACGGATTAAATTCGTTATGCGAGGTACCACTGTATATATATATATATATATATATATATATATATATATATATATATATATATATATATATATATATATTATACAGGTGCACTTTAATTATAAACGAATAAATATTTTTGAAAATGGAAATGGCATTGGAGAAACTCTGAAAATGCAACCCAAAAATATATACAGAAAAGTGAAAGATGTTAACTAATAAATCAATTAAATACTAAATGCATGAAACCAGTAACTTGCTAATTATATGTGTGGCATAAAATTCAAAGGCGCATGTACAGTATATTTATTCGTCACTATTCACTGTATTACACAAAATTTTATAAAATTTCAAGATACTGTATACATATCTTGAAATTTTATTAATATTCATATTAATAAAGCCTTGTTGCCTATGTACTGTATAATTTATTGTAATATTATATACTACTACTACTATTATATAGGATAATTGTAGTACTGTATATTCAAAATACCATGAATACCTTTAACTAGTAAACTAAAATAAAAAAACAAAATAATCAGGACAGGCCAGGTCATCATTTTCTTTTCATATTTACAAAATACAAATACAAATACAAATATTTATTCAGGTAAAGTACATACATACAAGGTAAGATACAAACGTTGAAGGATTTATAGATAGAGCTAGTACATACAATACCTAAAGCCACTATTACGCAAAGCGTTTCGGGCAGGAAAGACACTAAGACTAAAACTTCATACTAATTGAGATTAAAGTATAAATTGTCGAGAAAAATTAAGAAAGAATAAAATGCGAGTTGTGATATTTATTTCGAGTCCCAGCAGTACACTTGAGTTCGCTCTCCACGCACAATCGGAATTCCGAGTTCAAATCCCAGGCAGGACAGATATGGTTGTGCACGTTTCCTATCACCTTATGCACCTGTTTACCTAGCAGTAAATCGATACCTAGGAGTCAGTCAGCATGTTGTAGGGAAGCATCTTGGAGAGTCAGTAGTTCAACCATGGGGGGAGGAGATGGACCTCAAAATAAGCCTAACATGTATATATACATTGGCAGCCTGTCCCCCAACACAATGAATTATTATTATTGCTATTATTATTAAAATAATATTAAATCTTCCCATGTGTGCAATAATGAGGAATATGGTCAAATATATAATACAGTATAGTATTTTATATCTATGGAACTCCTTTGATGTAAATAACACGACTTGAATATTATAAATAACCTAGATCACAATTCTAAAACACTCCTTAGATAAGAGATAATTAATCTTTTAAAGCCATAAGCCCTCACCCCCAACTATAGATCTGGTAACTGTTGGATAAATGCACATTAAAAAAAAATTAACATCAGAGAAACAAGTAATGAAAGAGAATTAACCAGAATTAGATGTACCTTCTCCCAAGATAATCATCTGGTGCAAGCCAATAATAAGAACCATAGGCAGCCATATCATCATGTGCTATTCTAACATTCTTGCCTTCCTGAGATGCGGCCACAACCCGTCTTCTTGCCAGGTCTGTCACATGCCAGTTACTATGCTGTAAGACCTGAAAGAAGTGAAACAATTAACAAACATTGTATGTGAAACACACTAAATACTATGCTGTGCTTCTCAAGATATATTTTTGATGGAGAAATCTTTATAAAGATCTTTGAAATACTGTATTAAACTAAAAGATAATACTAGAAAATTATACAACAAATTCTGCATTTTATTTATATATATGCACAGTCAATTTCTTAAAGGACAGATAGGGATATTGAGTGGCTTAGCATCCTCTAATATGAAGAAAATGTAATTAATAAAACACATACTGTATTTAAATTAAAATCGCAAAAGCATTTAATTTGCATTTCCCAAATGCAAAAGCATTTCCCACCCACTTCCCTCTGGATGAGTATTGGGTATATGACAAACAAGTTAGAGCAAACACTCACAGTGTAGACAGCCAGTCTGGCTGCTTCGCACGAGTTTGTTGCAGCGTTGCAGTAGCAAGGTGTGCAACCAGTCGGATTTCGTGCGTCCAGGTGAAAGTGCCCTTGGGCACACGTCTCACAGCGATCACCCACCACATTTGCCTAGAAAATCAGAACTAAGGTAATAATATCAATAATCATTAATTTATTTGTATTTTTTATTTAGTTGTTTAATCATGAATGAGGTTTAATGAGTACGTATTAGCTGAATGAGTATATATCATGTTTAATGAGTATTAGCTGAATGAGGATTGTGTTTGTAATTCTGAACAAATATAGCTCACCTTACAGATGCACTCTCCATCACAGTCATGGTTGAGGGAACCTGAGCGGTCACAAGGGCAGGGCTCACACACTGGGTAACGACGGTAACCTTTGTCACAACGACTACAGCGAGGCCCCTGATCAAAGGAACACTCAACATACATTATCCAGCTAAAGGAAATACAATTACATAATAAGCCTACACACTTTTGGAAGAATATATATATTCATTGCCTTGTTGGATTGAATGTTATACACAGTAGGCACTTCTGTAGTTTTATTGATTAAGACAACAAAGTGTATAACTGGCCAACCGAGGTCCTAACCTACTCTGGGTCTGAGAGAGAACTGAGCCTGCTGCAAGTACGACTGGTGCTCCTCTGTCTGGCATGACGTCAGAGGCCTACTCGCCTGAGATTGGTTATGTCTCAACCGCCATATAATTTGAGTACAGGTATAACATATAATTTCTAGAACAGGCCTACTGTACTTTTTCACCTCTTGTTTAAGAGACAATTTACTGTGTTATGTTATTTGTTAATTTATTTATATACAAGAAGGTACATTGGGTTTGTGAGAATACATAGCATGGTATTTACAATCTTGTAAAGCCACTAGTACGCGCAGCGTTTCGGGCAGGTCCTTAATCTAACAGATAATTTTAGGTAGGTAAATTCTAGCAGAATTAATAAAATGATAACAGATACATTGTAAGAAAAAAATGAGATGAGAGAGATTAGTAAGTATATTAATTTAAAGCACATTGGTATATTAAAGCCCTGAGTGATTGCATTGACAGCTTGATTGGTAATTTAAACAAAGATTAATAGGCACCATACAGCAAATTGATAGAACATATAAGAAGACAGCAATGATCACAATGGTAAAGTTGTTTAGATTGGGTACATAAAGATTGGGAGATTGGGTAGCACTAGACACAGTGCAATTTTAAAGCAACAAGGTAGAAAACTATAAAGATGAAATTAGGTACTTTTTAGTTTTGTTTTTGAATGACGCAAAAGTTGGACAGCTTTTCAATTCATTAGGGAGTGAGTTCCATAGACTAGGTCCCTTTATTTGCATAGAGTGTTTACACAGATTAAGTTTGACTCTGGGGATATCAAAAAGATATTTATTTCTGGTGTGGTGATAATGGGTCCTATTACATCTGTCCAGGGAGAGTTTCAGAGCAGGATTTGTATTTAAGAACAGGTTTTTGTAAATGTAGTTGACACAAGAGAATGTGTGGAGTGAGATTATGTTTAGCATGTTTAGGGAGTTAAACAAGGGGGGCTGAGTGTTGTCTGAAAGCAGAATTTGTTATTATTCTGATAGCATATTTTTGTTGGGTGATGATGGACTTGAGGTAGTTTGCAGTGGTTGAACCCCATGCACAGATACCATAGTTGAGATAGGGATAGATTAGGGCATAATATAGTGAGATGAGAGCAGAGTTAGGTACATAATATCTGATTTTGTAGAGTATACCAACTGTTTTAGATACTTTCTTAGTTATGTGTTGTATGTGGGTGTTATGTGGGTGCTGAAGTTGAGTCTCTTGTCTAGGAATAGGCCAAGAAACTTTCCATCATTTTTTTATTACTAATGTTAACATTGTCTATCTGAAGCTGAAATGCATTTGTTGATTTGCTTCCAAATAAGATGTAGTCGGTCTTTTCTATGTTAAGTGTTAGTATGGTGGTTGACATCCATAAGTGGACTTTTTTTTAGTTCATTATTAACAACATTATTTAGTGTATGTGGGTTGGGGTTGGAGTAGATGAGGTAGAGAAGAGTTAAGAGTTAGAGTAGATGCACTTTATGTTCTAATATGTAATAATTATTGTAATACAGTATGAACAATATAAATAATAATTGTTATTATTAATTCATTATCAACATCCTCGTTTTTCTGCAATGGATTTCAATTTATTATTTCGATCTAATAATCCTTTTTAGTGTAGAAAAATCTCTGCAGCCGGTCTATTACATATCTATGATAATAGTTTTACCACACAAAAATCAAACTTAGTTAATCACACATATATTCAGTATAAACTTAAATTTCTCCCATTTCCAAAATGGTTTATTATATAAGGACCCTTTACAAGCCACCAACTTCTGTGCTTGTCATTTTTTTTGCCCTACACCTCTACATAAGTATCCCATTGGAATCGTATTATCAACAAAGAAAATGAAGGTGTAACTAGTTTACAGAAAATTTCTTCTGCTTGAGGGATGACTATAGTATCTCTGAATTGAATACCTATTTGATTTTCAATTATATTTATTTATAATTCATTAATTCAATTCTATAAACGAGCATTGCATAATAGTAATTACATTTAGAATCTTGAAAAAAAAAGAATGTAAGATGTAACGAGAGGGGATGAGGGAAGGGGGGGGGGACCTCGAACAAGTAGTAAAGTAAATTTTATTCAGGAAAGTACATACATAGTTAATAATAATAATAATAATAATAATAATAATTTATTTAGGAACAGTACATACATAGTTGCAGAGTTACAGTACAAACATTCTGTTAGATTTAAAGATAGAGGTAGTACATACAATACCTAAAGCCACTAGTACGCATAGCGTTTCGGGCAGGGTGAGGTGGGGGAAAAACACTTAGATTAAGTGTCTGGAACAAAATTCTAACGTGTATGAATACACTCTGGCTTCCTGTCCCCCGACACAATGAATTATTATAAATTATTACTATATATATTATTAAATTATCATAACATCTAAGTGATTCTACAACAAAAATCAACTCTATGTATATACAACTCCAGTGAAAACACAGGGATATATATATATATATATATATATATATATATATATATATATATATATATATATATATATATATATATATATATATATATATATATATATATATATATATATATATATATATATATATGAGAGGTGTATAGTATACACAAACATACCAAAAGAATAGAGGTGGTAGGAGAAGAAAATATCAAAGTGTTCAGTGAGGATCCACAAGGTCTTTTCTGAGTACTTTTTATTTTCTTCTCCGAGGCTATGGGTCCCTACACTTGCACCAGAGATGGTACCACTGAGAGGTGTACCCCGAACCTCGGTGTATATACACTTACAATTGACTTTAGTCCTGAACATTGTCCAGCACTAAATATATACTTACTAATTTGAGATATATACAAGAGTTGTTACATTCTTGTACAGCCACTAGTACGCGTAGCGTTTCGGGCAAGTCACAAAATCCTACGGTCCCTGGATACGATCCCCAGTGCCGCGAAGAATCGTACTTTTTTTTCCCAAGTACACTTGCACTGTTGCGTTAGAGATGGTACCACTGAGAGGTGTACCCCGAACCTCGGTGTATATACACTTACAATTGACTTTAGTCCTGAACATTGTCCAGCACTAAAATATACTTACTAATTGGTCAGTAATCTGTTGTGGTGGCCTTAGTAACCCTCCAGCAGTTGATATTCCCTAAAGCCTACACCAAACCCCATCCAATCCCTAATACAAATAAGAATTAAGTTTATTTATTTAGTTAGTTATTTATATACAAGAAGGTACATTGGGATTGTGAGGATACATAGCATAGCAATTACATTCTTGTAAAGCCACTAGTACGCGCAGCGTTTCGGGCAGTTATGTTAATATCTCTATGAAATACATCTAAAAATTAATGCCTCAAGATACAGTGACATAATAAACAACTTACGTGGAATCCTTCTTTGCAGATACACGCTCCAGGGAAGAAGCCAAGGTTAAACTGGGAGTCATCTTGGACACAGTGGCCCGTGGCTCCAGGTCCGGAACACTCACAGGGCAAGCATGGTGTGGGAGCGTCCGGAGCCACACCCTACAGGGCAAATGTCTTCATGGGTTAAACAGGAATCGTTATCTTCGGAGCACAAATAAGCAAAGTACATGCAAAGTATATAACAGTTGAACAAATCGACAAGGGCAATGATGAGGGTTCGAATCTACGCACGAGGAGCATCTGGGAACATCCCCTGCATAGGTTCGAACCCTCATCATTGCCCTTGTAGATTTGTTCATTTGATATATCACGCTACTGTGATTTCTGTGTATATATAACAGTTGTTAAAACAAAGCCAACAAAATATGTCGTCCTAAATGGAAATGAATCTAACTGGAGAAATGTGGTGAGTTGGGGGGGAAGGGAAGGTCACAGCCAGTCCTATCGAGTTGCAATGTCATAAAAGGATGTACTCAAGTGCCTGAACCTAACCTAACCTAACCTAACGCATAGAAAACGTGAATAGGCTATGATTGACCTCACATTTTGTCCGACGTATTGTTCGAGAGGACAGGTTGAATATTGAACCTTGCGTTAGCAATGCTGCAACCTGTTCTTTCGCATAATACATCGAATAAAATATAATGTAAATCATAGCGGCTTACAAAAGTTCACGTTTTCTATGCGTAGGTCGTCGTTTAGGTTGGGTTCGGACAACTGAGTACATGTTTTTGTAACGTTGTTGCACCTCTAAAAGACTAGCTGACCCTCTTCCCCTCACCACATCGTACTTTGACGTCAGTATCTCCGACGGATTATTAAGTAAGTAATTATCAATAGAAGGCACCAAACCGGGAAGGCTAAGTAGCACGAGTGATTATTAAAATGACAAAAGAACAACCAAGGAGCCAATAAATCTCACCTGAGGTCTATAGAATCCTGGTTGGCAGCGTTCGCAGTTGACACCGTCAGTATGATTCCTACACTCTTGGCACACGCCGCCTCCCTCGTATTCATCCCTGAAGTATCAACACTATTCTAACCTAGGTCATAAAAGTATTTGTGTGTACGTCTGATACCATACTACTTGTGAAGGAGGAAATGTATATGTTTACCTCTCAGAATGTTTGGTAATATGTTTATTGTTTGTGATGTGTGTCTATGTATATATTAACACGTTGTACTGAATTTGGTGAGAATAGCTTGAGCTACCTCATCCCTTTGTGTGTATTTTACCTCAATAAACTTATTTCAATTTCAATTTCAACACTATTCTAACTCAAAAATGATAGCAATAGTAATTTTTATTTTTTGCTGAGGTGTACCTCTGGTAAAAACAAATATACTGTATATATATGCAGGCGATGAGACACAATAACGTTGCTAAAGTAAGTTGACCAGAACACACATTAGAAGGTGAAGGGACGACGACGTTTCGGTCCGTCCTGGACCATTCTCAAGTCAACGAAGCGTCGTCGTCCCTTCACCTTCTAGTGTGTGGTCTGGTCAACCTACTGTATATATATATACTGTATATACAAATAATTCATCATTAGCCAAGTTTATATAGTAAATTTTGTCTTACATTAACAGTTAATATAGAAAAGCTTGGCTTATATAAAGAGCAAAGAGAGCAAACCTTGCCTTGTATTAAGAGAAAGATGCTTCCTGGCAACTTCTTCATCATACTTGCAAGAGTCTGCATGGCCATAACACTGGCATTTCTCGCACACTCCCCCATCACTAAAGTTGCCAGCTCGCCATGGCTTCTGGTTGTACAGTGGACAACACATGTTGCAGTTGTTGCCACATGTGTTGTGAACGCATGAACACCTTGCCTGCTGCACCAAAATAAATCCATTAATAGAATCCTTCTTTTCACAGTAATGTTCTTCATATATTGAGTGAAATGTATACATTTCACATGTTGAGTGAAATGTATACATTTCACTCAACATGTAAAGAACAAATTTTAACTTATGCTTAACTTTTAACTTATTTTAAATTTTTATTTTAACTTGTGCTATACGTTATGGTACGAGGTCAAGTTATTCATGCTATGGCCTCGAATTTCTTATGCTATGGATAAAATTACTGAAGCCTATGGGATCGAATCTCTAATGCTGTTGATTAAACCGTTTATGCTAAGAGATCTAAATAACTTATCCTATGAGAGCTAATCACTTACACTATAGAATCAAACCACTTGTGTTATTAGATTAAACCACCAGGTTTGTACTTGTGTTCCTTATCTTGGCTTCTTAAGAATGCAAAGTGAATCTAAGAAAAAAAAGTACACGTGGCCTTAAAATCTAATATATACATCCACATGAGAGGACTGAGAAGAAACAGGGAGGAAGGTGAAGGATTTCTGGGCTAGTTAGTTTAGTTCATTTATTATGCACCCCATTCCCATCTTTCCGGGCTCCCTACCTGATCATCAGTGTCGCAGTTCATGGCGTGGCCATTACACACACACCGACCCCCAATACTGATGTCTTTTATAGAATAAAAGTAACGCCTGAAATGAACCATTAAATGAGGGTTAACTTAAATAACTTCTCCAGTAATGATCATTGCTTTGTACTCAATTTTCAGATAAGTTATACAAGTAAGCTACTTAATTTGATGGTAAATGTTTAATTAACTTTGTCAACGCAATAATGCTATATGCAATCTAGTCATGAATTCGTCGAAGCAAATATTATAGTAAACAACCATTTCATGTAGCAGTAGGTTAAGTAAAAAAAATACACACCAATAGAATGAGAGAGCACAATGATACGACCTGTACTGGTAACCATGAGCAAGACTCACTTGGTGACGGAGGCATCAGACTGCGAGGACCTCCCCTGCAGCTCGCCGTGAAGGGTCCGGATCCGCTGAAGGCGCAGACGGACGAAGCGTGCCTCTGTGAACTTCCGAAGGGCCTCAGAGGGTCCTGCGGATCCCGGACGTCCGTTCACTAGTGAGGTGTGTATCTACAAAAAAAAAAAATTGTTAATTTAGTTTAGTTTATTATAGATCCCATACTTATCTTGCGGGTGGTGGGGATATGTTAGTCGCATAATACGTTCTCTTGAGTTGTCACGACGTCACAAAAATGATGTACTAAATTGCCCGAACCTAACCTAACCGAGGACCCACGAATAGAAAACTGGACAGCATATCATTTTTTCAAGCCGCTATGATATACAGTACATCTTATTTTGACCATTTCGGATTTATACGTCAAAATACGACGCACAATTCGAGTGTTTACCCATGCAAAGTAAATATAGCACGAGAAAGATTTAACTGCGGCGATATATAAATATGATTTTGTGTGGCTTTAATTGTGAGGTTATGCCAGAGCGGGCAGATTTCGGACTCCTTTATTTATTATGCACCCCATACCCATCCCGTGGGCGGAGTTGGAAAGGGTTACAGAGGCACTTGATGGGTTCAGGAACTAAACCTCACACTTCATTTAGCAAAGCAAGTGACAATCTTGTGAGGCTAGTTACACAAGTGTTAATAATACATACACATGTACATAATAATAATAATAATAATAATAATAATTTATTTGCAAGAGGGTACAATGGGTTAGTGAAATTACATAAGATTGGTATTTTTACATTCATGCAAAGCCACTAACACGCATAGAGATTCAGGCAGGTCCTTAATCTTGAGGTTATCTTGAGATTATTTCGGGGCTTTAGTGTCCCCGCGGCCCGGTCCTCGACCAGGCCTCCACCCCCAGGAAGCAGCCCGTGACAGCTGACTAACACCCAGGTACCTATTTACTGCTAGGTAACAGGGGCATTCAGGGTGAAAGAAACTTTGCCCATTTGTTTCTGCCTCGTGCGGGAATCGAACCCGCGCCACAGAATTACGAGTCCTGCGCGCTATCCACCAGGCTACGAGACCCGAATCTAACATATCAGGTAAGATGAAAGGAGCACATTGTAGCGCAAGGTTTTTATATCAACAAATAACTACAACATAAGTTGACAGCGGTGATTACACTGGTAAGGATATGTGTCTTAAGTACTTATATTGGGGAAGGGGGAAGGTAGTACAAGATACAGTGTGAGTTTGAAGCAAAAAGTAGGAAACTATGAGGATGAAATTAGGTACAGTACTTTTTGGTTTTACTTTTGAACAGGATATGGGTTGGACAATTTTTTTAATTCATCAATGAGTGAGTTTCAAAGACTGGGCCCTTTTATTGGCATGGAATGTTGGCACAGATTTAGTCTGACTCTGGGAATATCCAAGATATATTTATTTCTGGTGAGGTGCGCAGGGGGTTCTATTACATCTATCAAGGAAAAGTTTCAGATAAAGATTAGCATTTAGGAACAAGGGGCCAGATTCACGATGCGGTTATGCAAGTGCTTATGAACGTGTACATCTTTCCTCAATCTCTGACGGCTTTGGTTACATTTATTAAACAGTTTACAAGCATGAAAACTTCCCAATCAACTGTTGTTGTTATTGTTATAAACAGCCTCCTGGTGCTTCGGAGCTCATTAACTGTTTAATAATTGTAAACAAAGCCGCCAAAGATTGAGAAAAGATGTACAGGTTCGAAAGTGTTTGCGTAACTGCTTCATAAATCTTACGCAAGGTTTTTTAACATGTAGATAGCACATGAGAATGTGTGGAGTGAGTATATGTTTAGCATGTTAAGGGACTTAAATAGAAAGGCTGCGTGTAGTTTGAAGACGAGTTTGTTATAGTTCTGATAGCAGATTTTTGCTGAGTGATATATGCTTGAGGTAATTTGCAGTGGTTGAACCCCATGCAGAGTTACCGTATGTAAGATAGAAATAGATTTGTGCGTAGTATAATGAAAGGAGAGCAGAGTGGGGAATATAATATCTGATTTTAGAAAGTATACTGACCGTTTTCGAGACTTTTTTGGTTATGTGTTGTATGTGGGTGCTGAAATTCAGTCCCTTGTCAACGTATAGACCTAGGAACTTTTAACACATTTTTATTGGTAATGTTAACATTGTCTATCTGAAGTTGAATCTGATGATTTGATGATTTATTTCCAAATAAAATGTAGAAGGTTTTCCTATGATTAGTGTAAGTTTGTTAGTTGACATTCACGAGTGGACTTTTTTTAATTCACTGTTGACATTATTATTTAGTGTGTGGGAGTTGGGGTCAGAATAGACAAAGGTAGTATCGTCTTTAATATAGGTAGTATAGGTTTAAGAATTTTAGAAACATTTGGCAAATCATTGATGCATATAAGAAATAAAAGAGGTCCCAAGATGCTGTCCTGTAGCACCCCTACTGTCAATAGGGAAGGTTATGCTATTGATGGCTACATATCGGTGTCTGTCACTGAGATAGGAACGAATATAGTCCAGAGCAAGGCCTCGGATATCATAGTGGTGAAGTTTAAGTAAGAGGTAGTTATGGTTTACAGTATCAAAGGCCTGTCTCAGGTCAATGAAGAGGCCACTTGGGAACTCATTATTGTCAAGGGCAATGTAGATAAGAAGTAAGTAATTATCAAAAGAAGGCACCAAACCGGGACAGATTATAAGAAGCAGACTAATAATGGCATCATTGGTATTCTTTTGGGAACAGAAGTCAAACTGGCAGGGACTTAGTATGTTGAGTTTTACAAAGTTGAAAGAGAGCTGTTTGTAAATAATATTTTCAAATATTTTTGAAAGTATAGGTAGATTTGATATTGGTCTGTAATTGTTTACGTCGGCTGTCTCGCCTCCTTTATGAACTGGAATCATTCTTGCTTTTTTAAGGATATCAGGAAAAGTCTGACACTAGAGATTTATTGAATAGCAGAGTTATGGGTAGTGCAAGAGTAGGGGCAGCACTCTTATATATCTTAGATGTTATTTCATTAATGCCATATATATACATACATGTACAAAATACATATCAATAATCTTTTATATCAACATATGGTGATGCATTGCTTGGTTTAAAACACTTCCCAAAACTTTCATGATAACACTAAACATGTTTATATTGAGCGGGTGAAATTAATTGGGCGTTTTATTTGCCCAGTAATTGTCCAATCTTGGCCCTGTGCCAAGTTATAAAAAAGCTATCAAAGTCACCCAGCCGTTAAGTTATATACGGCAAAATAAGTACTGGAACTAACAAATCCCCCTCCAGTTTTCAAAACACAATGCCTATCGGAAATATAACTCCATAGCGTTTTTTTTATAGCTGAATTCAGGGTGATTGCACATATTTGGAGTTTTAAATTAAGACTTTCTATACCGAAAATATGCAAATTAGTGAAAACGGCGATCAGTTATATTTTGCCTAAATCCCCCAGCAAAATATGACCAATCTACCTTATCACGGACTGGGTGATAAGGCAGTGAATGACATTAATTAATATTCTTGTTTGATACAGGTATCATACCTCCCCCTGTTAAGCTCAAAGGGAGACATGCACAGACAAACATAAGGAAGGATCGTACATCTGAACAGACACATTTAAGACACGTAGCAAGAGTGACAGCTCAAGCGTTGGAGACAGTGGACTTACCTCGCCGCCCTCCAGGGGATCCAGCTTGGAGAAGTAGGAGGTACATATGACATGTGTGTCGTAGTCGTAGGAGGGTCGGCCGCGGGTAGGGGGGTAGTTGTACGCCGCGAGGCATTCTTGGTCGCTGAGCGCGTAGTACTGCCAGGGGTAGAACAACCTCCCGTCCAGCGAGCGTTCCAGAATCCAGTTGCCAGGGCGTGGGGACACGGCGCTCTTCACAATCACGTAGGCCACCTGGTAAACCTAGATCAACACGGTGTAATTATTGCAACTTCCTTTACTCGACCATCTGTAAACAAAATGCTTCTCCTCGAAGATTTTGGATTTTTATTTCGGTTATTATGGAAAAGGTTACAGGGGAACACGATGGCCTCAGGGACTGAAATCCCAAATGCAACTACCTGAGCTGAATGGGTTTTCCTCGAAGAATTTTTTATGACATAAACAAATGTTAATAATTTCTTGCCAGTAAGCCATTTCTGGGAAGGATAACTTGTAGACAACGTCAATCATATTTTACCAAGGACCTAGATCATACAATGTGTTACCTAAGACCTAGGTCCTACAGTATGGTCTAGGACGTAGACCATTCAAAGTTGCCTAGGACCTAGGTCATACAATACTGTCTAGGACCTAGGTCATACAATATTGGGTCAACAATATTGTCTAGGATCTTAGTCATATATTTCCTAAAAACTAGGCTTTACAACTTAGAGAGGCTTTGGATTGGGATATATTGAAATTTTTAAACATGTGCAAAGTAGAATATATATTTTTCATTACAATTATTGACAGATTTAACCTCCATCATAAAATTATCTTAAGATTATCTCTAAGATAACTAGGACTGGAAATGCATTAGGATATCGTAAACTGCCTAGGTAATGTAGATTCGAGAATACAGCATAATTTATAAATGTAAATCCCATAAACAGGCTCCAAATCGTATTACATTCTAGGCCTTAAGGCTTTCTTAAGATTATATTCCCAACCCCCAGCCACCTGCGGGCCGCTCCAAGCAACAGCCTGGTGGACCAAACTCTCACAAGTCAAATCTGGCCTCGGGCCGGGCTTGGGGAGTAGAACAACTCCCAGAAACCCCATCAACCAGGTATCTACGTACCTGGATTGTACCTAGATGGAGTTCTGGGAGTTCTTTAGTTCAAGCCCTTACAAAAATACAAGGTTCCTTCACGCCTGTACTCGCCCCTTCCACATTCCCCAAATGACACACATGGAATTACATTCTCCTTCGCTTCCACAACCTCAATACACTTAATTATTATAACCTCTTCCCTGCACGACACCCATTGTACCTTAACTCTCTTCCAACCCCCCCGCCTCCCCACCTCCCCCCGCCGAGGAAATAAACTGCATGTGACGCTTGGCTGGTGTTTGGGAATGTAGAAAGTTTTGGCGTATTGCTGACCCAGCAGCTTGGCGGGGTACTGGCGTCGCTACAGGTGGTCGTGGGGACGACGTACTGCTGACCCAGCAGCTTGGCGGGGTACTGGCGTCGCTACAGGTGGTCGTGGGGACGACGTACTGCTGACCCAGCAGCTTGGTGGGGTACTGGCGTCGGGGACGACGTACTGCTGACCCAGCAGCCTGGCGGGGTACTGGCGTCGCTACAGGTGGTCGTGGGGACGACGTACTGCTGACCCAGCAGCTTGGCGGGGTACTGGCGTCGCTACAGGTGGTCGTGGGGACGACGTACTGCTGACCCAGCAGCTTGGTGGGGTACTGGCGTCGCTACAGGTGGTCGTGGGGACGACGTACTGCTGACCCAGCAGCTTGGCGGGGTACTGGCGTCGCTACAGGTGGTCGTGGGGACGACGTACTGCTGACCCAGCAGCTTGGTGGGGTACTGGCGTCGGGGACGACGTACTGCTGACCCAGCAGCCTGGCGGGGTACTGGCGTCGCTACAGGTGGTCGTGGGGACGACGTACTGCTGACCCAGCAGCCTGGCGGGGTACTGGCGTCGCTACAGGTAGTCGTGGGGACGACGTACTGCTGACCCAGCAGCTTGGTGGGGTACTGGCGTCGCTACAGGTAGTCGTGGGGACGACGTACTGCTGACCCAGCAGCTTGGTGGGGTACTGGCGTCGCTACAGGTAGTCGTGGGGACGACGTACTGCTGACCCAGCAGCTTGGTGGGGTACTGGCGTCGCTACAGGTAGTCGTGGGGACGACGTACTGCTGACCCAGCAGCTTGGCGGGGTACTGGCGTCGCTACAGGTAGTCGTGGGGACGACGTACTGCTGACCCAGCAGCTTGGTGGGGTACTGGCGTCGCTACAGGTGGTCGTGGGAACGACGTACTGCTGACCCAGCAGCTTGGCGGGGTACTGGCGTCGCTACAGGTGGTCGTGGGGACGACGTACTGCTGACCCAGCAGCTTGGCGGGGTACTGGCGTCGCTACAGGTAGTCGTGGGGACGACGTACTGCTGACCCAGCAGCTTGGCGGGGTACTGGCGTCGCTACAGGTAGTCGTGGGGACGACGTACTGCTGACCCAGCAGCTTGGCGGGGTACTGGCGTCGCTACAGGTGGTCGTGGGGACGACGTACTGCTGACCCAGCAGCTTGGTGGGGTACTGGCGTCGCTACAGGTAGTCGTGGGGACGACGTACTGCTGACCCAGCAGCTTGGTGGGGTACTGGCGTCGCTACAGGTAGTCGTGGGGACGACGTACTGCTGACCCAGCAGCTTGGTGGGGTACTGGCGTCGGGGACGACGTACTGCTGACCCAGCAGCCTGGCGGGGTACTGGCGTCGCTACAGGTGGTCGTGGGGACGACGTACTGCTGACCCAGCAGCCTGGCGGGGTACTGGCGTCGCTACAGGTAGTCGTGGGGACGACGTACTGCTGACCCAGCAGCTTGGTGGGGTACTGGCGTCGCTACAGGTAGTCGTGGGGACGACGTACTGCTGACCCAGCAGCTTGGTGGGGTACTGGCGTCGCTACAGGTAGTCGTGGGGACGACGTACTGCTGACCCAGCAGCTTGGTGGGGTACTGGCGTCGCTACAGGTAGTCGTGGGGACGACGTACTGCTGACCCAGCAGCTTGGCGGGGTACTGGCGTCGCTACAGGTAGTCGTGGGGACGACGTACTGCTGACCCAGCAGCTTGGTGGGGTACTGGCGTCGCTACAGGTGGTCGTGGGGACGACGTACTGCTGACCCAGCAGCTTGGCGGGGTACTGGCGTCGCTACAGGCGGTCGTGGGGACGACCCAGCAGACAGAGGAAGGGGGGGGAGGATAGCTTACTGACGTTGTGGGGGTCGCCATGTGTTTACAAATGATGTAGAGTCTGTTTGTCGTATGTACTGGTCTGATCTTCCATTCCTACCCTGTCTACCCTCCCAGTTCCCCCCAAGCACTCTACATACTCCCCCTATCTTCATATTAACCAAACATCCTGCAAAAATTGAAGACAAATAATCACTTTGCAAATCCCAAATAAAAACAGGAAGACAAAGACACACACACACAGCGTCTGGGATGCTCTCGAACGCAGGTTCGAATCCTCGTCACGTCCCTTGTGGATTTGTTCAGGAAGACAAAGTTTTTATTATCCAGAATTAAAACCTGGTTTAACTGAACTAAACCATAATAATAATAATATATCTAAATCACATAGTTGTTAAACGGACAAAAATAGTAGAAAATACTTTTATCTTCATTTTCCTAATGAACATTCGCGTGGTCCTGGGCGGCGCGCGACGCCATTTTTACTTTCCCTTCAAATTATCAGCGCTCGCTTGACTGATTTACCGTTTGTTACCGGTCACGCTCGCACGCATGCGCGGCACGCCCGCGCGTACGCGCACAATGTTTATCATACACAATTAATGAATCCATTTAATAAGCAACAGAACGATGAGTTTTCGTGCCATTAGAAGTGTCAACGTCACGAATAATGGCGGAAGCAGAGGACCATTAACGTAATCTGGCATGTGTGCTTTTGTCATCAACTGGATGGTGGTGTATCTGACTCTTACTATTGAGACTCTTGCTATTGAAACTCTTGCTATTGAAACAACCTATTGACATAGCTCGAGTGCATGAGGGGAATTGTGTAAAATCCTGGTTTGTGTCTCGGAGAGGCGGCAGGATCCAAGTAAATTCAGTTGAATTTCTGGTTGGAATTCTTATACCATGTCGTAGCTCAGTCGATTAAGGCAGCGTCTGGGATGCTCTCGGACGTAGGTTCGAATCCTCGTCACGGCCCTTGTGGATTTGTTTCTCTGACTCTTGCTTCGACCTCAGACCTCGATTACCGAGGTTTTACAACGGGCCTTCACCACTCGCCTCAAGTTTATTTTGACCTGTTCATACAATACAAATCTCTAAGTGAACTTCAACCTTGGCTCAACTCTCACACCTCGGCCCCCGAGGACAGATGTGAGGACCTGGGCACAATATTATGTTTCGTGAATCGGAGAACTATTTACGCAACCAGTTACGAAACCTGTACATCTTTCAGCAGTCATGTCAGCTCTGTTTACATTTATTAAACAATTTATTAACTTGAAACTTCACAATCCAAGATTGTTATTGCTATAAGCAATCTTGTAACGCTTCGTAGCTCATGAACTTTTGTTGAAGAAAGATGTATAGGTTTACAAGTGATGTGCAGAAATGCTGTGATGAATCCTGGCTGAGTATGAGGGAAGTAGTGAGTCCCGGCCGAGTATGAGGCAAGTAGCGAGTCCCGGCCGAGTATGAGGCAAGTAGCGAGTCCCGGCCGAGTATGAGGCAAGTAGTGAGTCCCGGCCGAGTATGAGGCAAGTAGCGAGTCCCGGCAGAGTATGAGGCAAGTAGCGAGTCCCGGCCGAGTATGAGGCAAGTAGCGAGTCCCGGCCGAGTATGAGGCAAGTAGCGAGTCCCGGCCGAGTATGAAGCAAGTAGCGAGTCCCGGCCGAGTATGAGGCAAGTAGCGTAGCCCGCCGAAGTCCCAGATAACTCACAGTAAACCCACAAATAATATCTACTGTTTGCTGTTGCTCGTCTGAGCTGCCAACTACAATATTAAATCTTCGTCTGGTGAATCCTGAGTTTATTGTCTCAGGTGATGGAGGAGAACAGTGACGTCATAGTAGACATTGTCCAATAGCCACACATGATGCCCCCAACACGGGTGGGGGGGGGGACGAAGTTACGGGCTATTCATGTCCGTGCCACCTCTTTGGGTGGCTTAATCTTGATCAATCAGGAGAACGAAGGGAGGGGGTTCAATAC